GCGAACGTGGAGTCAACTCGGTCACCGCTGCGAACACGACACTATAAAGCCTATCACGACCATCCTCATCACAGAAGGTCATCGTACCGCTAAAGAAGCCCGACAATGAGCGAAGGGATGCCTTCGCGTTCTGTTGACAGAAGTTACAAGGTGGAATTCAGTGGCATAACTATCGCCCGACGTGCTAATGCAGTTCAGCACGCAATCGCCATCCTTCACAGCCGACGACGCCCAGCGAGACCGACTGTCAGTGCTGCAAGCGAACCACCAAATACTGACCGTGTCACTGGTGGGGAAGGCAAATCTGAACTGAAGGGTACACCGAGTATAGTCGGAATGAAGCAATGGCTACAGCAGATCGGTCACTCGGTATGCCTCGTGAGCAGTCTCTGGAGCTATACTGACAAACAAAGACTGTCGAAATCGACGACCTCAACATCATTCACGTCGCCGGCACCAAGGGCAAAGGCAGCACCTGCGCATTCATCGAATCTTTTCTCCGGGCTTACGGAGAAAGAACCGGATGGCCAGCCAAGACAGGTCTATACACTTCACCACATCTCATCTACCCTGAGGAGAGGATTCGTATCAACTTCAAACCCATCAAGAGAGACCTCTTCGCAATGTACTTCTTTGAAGTGTGGGGTATCCTGTCTCAAGAGCCTGAGAGGTTACCTCGCTATCTCCAGCTCCTCGCCTTAGTATCGTTCCACGCGTTCATCAAAGAAGGCGTAGAGGCAGCAGTATTCGAGACTCACCACGGAGGCGAATATGATGCTACGAACGTGATAGAACATCCTGTCGCAACCGTGATAACCGCCCTTGGCATGGACCACGTCCAGCAGTTAGGACCCACTATCGAAGACATCGCCTGGCATAAATCAGGAATCTTCAAGCGCGGGGCCTATGCTTTCTCGTCCCCCCAGGAACCCTCCGCTGCTGATATTCTCCGGAATCGCGCATCGGAGAAAGGCATCAACATCCACTTTATCGGAAACGATCCGGACCTTCCAATAGACATGCCGCAGTTGAAGCCAGATGTTCAGCGTACGAATTGTTCGGTTGCGCTTGCTGCTGTACGCTGTTTTCTCGGATATAGAGCTCCCAAAGACCTTCCATTATCATCAGATGTGGATGTTTCGCAGGCTATAAGCCAATTCTCATGGCCTGGGCGCTTTCAAATCATTGTCGATGGGGTATTAAGCTGGTTTGTGGACGGTGCGCACAACGAGATGAGCGTTAGCAAAGCAGCGGAATGGTTCATCGAGAACTCCCAGGGAGAGAAGTGCGTGACCAGCCGGGCCACATATCCCCGCTAATCACTGACGCTATTAGTGCATCTCCCGTACGCATCTTGGTCTTCAGCCAAATATCGAAACAAAGAGATGCGAAACTAGTCCTCGAACGACTGGCCGCTGCCCTCAGCCCTATTCACATCGATCACGTCATCTTCACTCTTTACGATCCACAGCAGGACTTGGACTCTCCAGCAGGTGAATTCCTCTTTGTGCTTATAAAGCTCGCCCGCTAACTGCGACACAGCTGTGGTTGATGAGTCGGAAGATGCTTTGCAACAGGGGTTCGGCGAGATATGGTCGAGATACCACCAGGATAGCCGCATAGTTTACGAACTAAGCGTAGAGAAGGCTTTGGATGCTGCTAGAGAGCTAGGGACGGAAGCTGGTGGCATGCAGACTCTCATCACTGGAAGCCAACATCTAGTCGGTAGCGCACTATTCTCGATAAACAGATGTGCGTCAACGAGAGACCGTCAATCCTCTCAACGCTCACCGTAATCGGGCGAACAGTGCACTGAAACAATTTGGAACGGAACCAGGTGTTGCTAGGGATTCGCTCTCTTAACATTGATAAAAGGCTCTACAGCTACTAAGCTGCGAGAAACTAGCGAGCAATCCTACAAATGAGTCTTACCGCTAGCTACAGAAGATACCACAACCATGTACACCCACTTTCATCCTCATACAGCTCATAGCCTACCACTAGAAGTGGTTAGGACCAAGCGGAACACCCAAAGCGTTCAGAAGAACCATGACAAGCGAAATACCAAGCTTTCCAGGCGAGCCAGCATCCAGAAGATCCAAGAACTCGTTGCGGATGCTGCAGCCCGAGATGGGAACACCGTTGAACCTGTCGGTGAGGTAGTTGAGGACATCACCGGTGCTAGTGGCAGCCTGGGTGAAGTGCTCGCCGAAAGAGTCTCGGACGTATGTGATGGAAACGCCCGCCTTGCAGAACTGGTCTACGAGCGCATCAGTGTCAGCGATTGGCGAGATCTCATCCTTCACGGCCTTGTATACGAAGATCGGCATGGATGGAGTGCCGTGAAGACCCATGGTCGCTCCAGTCCTGATGGTGTTTTCCGCGATAGGGTCTGTGAAGATTTGTAAGTCAGTGTCATCGTCAGGATTAATGTTTCTCACGGGGGGTACACACCATCGAAGATCGCCTGTCCTTGCTTGAAGTACGTGAAGATATCCTGTCCCGCGTACGTCTTCACGTCGGCGTAGAAGCACTGGCGACCAGCTTGGTTGAAAGCATCAGCCTTCTCTGGCTTGAGGCTGTCTTGGACATACTTTCCGAAATCAGGATACGCGTTTCCCAAGCCCAAGAAGCCGGCAGCACTGAGACCAGCGAAGAGTCCCTTGTTGATGGTGTTGAATACATTTTCGACATTGGGAGTTACACCGCCGATGGCCATGCCAACAAAGGGGATCTCTGGGGCGTAGTTGGCTTGGAGTTCGGCGGCCCATTCGGAAGCCAAAGCGCCTCCACTATATCCCCACATCTGGACCTTTGCAGAAGAGTCGACGCCGGTGGTGGCGCCGGAAGCGAGCGCCGCACGAATACCATCAAGAGTAGCGTAGCCTGCTTGGAATCCAGCGACGAAAGTGGACTTGGGTCCCTCCCAATCCGGCGAGTTGACGATCCAGCCCTGGTTGAGCGAGGCAGCAATGAGGGCGGCTTCAATACCTCCTGTTCCGGCATATGTGGTATTGGACTTTGTTTGGAGCGTGTAAGATGGTGCGCAGTTGATCTCACCACCGCTGTCTTCAGCGACCTGGTAAGAGAGCAGCTTCTTTGAATCCGCGTTCTTTGGCACCATCACCGTAGTGACTGTGGCCACCGGGTTTCCAAGCGAGTCAGTGGTCCTGTAGAGCAGTTGCCAGGCACCCTTCAAGTTGAGAGGAATGGTTTGAAACAGCGAGAGGGCGCTGGGTACTGGTCGGCTTCTCAAGATAGCACCAGGTTTTGCAGACTCGAAGCCAGCAGGCGGTGTATAGAATGGATCATCAGAGGGAGGGATGGGAGCGCTGCCTCCAGCTCCAAGGAGTGAACCAAGTAGACCAGGTCTGGGAGCGGCAGCAGTGAGTCCGACGAGCGCAAAAAGCGCGGCCTTGATGGCAGAAGTCCTCATGTTAGAGTGAATGGGATGCGATGCGTGAGAGAATGTGATGATAGCGATGTCTTAATGTGCGCAAGAACAATCCCCTTATATGTCCATCTCTCCCCTTCCTGTTCAAACACCTAAACAACAACCTCTGGCCTTAGGTGTCAAATTCCGTTCATGTCGTCACATGAGCATCTCGAAAGCTACACGAGCATGGTCGACTAACGACTGGCCGATTGGTTGCCTTCTATTTACGAGCCCGACTAAAGGCATGCCGATTGGTCGTGACGGCCAAGTTCTACCATCGGACAGGTACGGCCATTCATACGCAAGCTCGGAGCCTCGGTGTCGAATTTAGCGCCCGCTGCGTCGGGTCCTATAGACGAATGCGAAAGCTTATTTTGATTGTCAGGAACCACGAAAGCTCCACTCTCGACTGCGTTCCTCTCTGGAAAGAAGACCGTGAGTGGGTCTGGCCTGTTCGATCCTTGGAAACATCCATGAATTCCGGCGAGAACGTCGGAAATACCAAGATACTAGCCAGAGCTTATGTCCGCCACCAATCGGTTGACAGCATGGGCAACGACATGTGAAATCGTGACTACGAAAGTCGAAAGATTTGACATGGAATCTGGGGAAGATCCCCACGGGGAACACGCTACCCCTGGGAAAAGATGGAGACGGTGGTGTTGAGCGGGGTATGTGGTACCAAGATGTTTGACCAGCACGTCTTTCGAAGAACTAATGTGTTCAAAATCATACCATGCCCATATTACTCCGCAGCTCTTTGCGTCATTTGAGCAATCTAGCCCGACCTGAACGCCTATTCAAGAGCCACTCCGGAGAAATGCGAGAGAAACCATGTCGTGCCAATACTTCTCCGCAATCTTGTGCATCATTTCAGCCATCTAGCCTGACCAGAACGACCCGACCTTCTTTTTCTCCTTTTGTCCGCTCTCGTTGTTTCTCCAGAGTGAGAAGTACGAACGTCACGTGGCATGGTTCAATGATCAGTCTCCTGCCCGCGCTGGGTTTGCATATTCTGAGAACCCCTAAAGGCTAGGTAGACCTCATCAATCGCCACGCAGAAAATGCTGAAGTGTCTTCTCCAGGGGCGCCACCACCCCTTCAAAGACTGCCTGTTGGAAAGCCTCATCGTCAAGACTGGATTCTTTTCGATTGAAATCGCATCGAATACATCGCCTGACCGCTTCCACGTAATGTGTGGGAGCATTGAACTCGATATCTTCATCAAGTAGTCTTTCAGCCGTGCACCACGTGACACCTGGCGTACCTGCGCAATCTTGGTCTTGGGGAATTTGCAGCTCTTCGATTGGGTTGCCATAGATGAGCTCGATGAGCACTAGACCGAGCGTGTAAAGTGTCTGGTTTCGTATGACTTTTGCGACTGCTCGTTGGGTGTCATGTGGCTGGATCGTGCATGCCGATGACAAATTGCGATAAACGAACGGATGATCGTAGAGTGCAGACAATGGTACACCTGGACGATGAATAAAATATACGTCGTTGTCACTCCAGTGCTCATCCAGCCACGGTGTCCTGTAGAGTTGGAGTACACTCGACGCCAAGTCTACTGCAATTCGAAGCTTATCCTGGAGTCTCAGTGGCCGCCCGATATTTGTGTGCTTGGTAAGCACTTGCCGCAATGAGTACGCTACCCATTTTTGCTGATCAGAGCCGCTTGACGCCTCCAGTGGATAGATTCCGTGTTTTCGCTTGTCATCGTCGATCAAGTAGCCAATACATAGGTCGTGTTTTGCATCGCCAAGCGCTCCGACTGCTTTACACAAGTCTTCTATATGCGTTGGTGTGGAACTCATACCAGATGTACTTGAGTTTTCGACAAGCGTGATGGTGCTGCTGCTGCTCGATCGAGACTCAGTCTGCATGAATCTGACCGTTTTCGGGAGCTTGGGCGAAGTGAGAGCTCTATGCATGTATGGCGGGGGTGGCTTTTTGTCGGGCTGGTCGGCGATGTACCGGATGTCCGCTTCAGTCCATTTCCAATAGTTGCATGATATTGGTTGCGGTGACGCCGTCACAGTTTCGTTTGTGAATACCACACGAAATGGCGTATGATCCAGCGCATCATCTCCTTGCTGCAGTTTCTGATTTCGACTTTCCAATCGCAATTTGACTGCATGACCGCTGCAACCGCATTGCAGACCCGACTTTAGAGTTTCGTACAAGGAGCGTGCATACTCTTGTAAGACACGAAAGTTGGGACACTGGTTTGATTTGGATTTCGTGCGCGACGGTTCCAGTTCGAGAGACTGCTTGGTGAGGCTGGACAGATACTGGTTGTGCGTTGTCAGATCGTTGAGTTGTTCTGTGTATTCCGATTTGCTAAGCCCAAACTTCAGTCTGTTGAACTCTTTCTTAAACAGCTTGAGGTCTGAGAAAGGAGGCTAATCCAAGTCAGTTCGTGTTCTTCGTGAATAGCATATTGCTGAGGCGGACTGACGACTGGGCCAGTAAACAAACGGCGAAGAAGTGGATCAAGTCGGTCCGGACGCATTTGCTTTGTAGTCTGTGCGTCGACAAGAACGCAATGCCACAGTCGCCGCACTAGGTATGAGAAAAGAGGAATAATGACTTACCTTGCCGTCAGGTGCCAGCGCTAGTTTGTCCATAATCTTTTGTAGCGCTCCTGCCATGCCCTGCACATTGGCCAAGTACACCTCATACGCGCCGCGTAACCTATCTTTCAAACACTGTTCGATGAACTCGTCTTGCCACTCTTCACCGCCTACATTCGCCAACATTCCTGCCATTCTATCAATCCTGACGATTCCTGTAAGGAGATGCTCAAGGGTGTTGACAAATGTGGCCTTCTCCGAGTTGATTCGAAGTAACAAGAATCTCACTTCGGATTTGAAGTGCCAGAATCGTTTGGCTGTGCTGACACCCTGCGCATAGTGCTCCAAAGCTGAGATAATAAGCGGCAACGCTCCAAGCACAATGCCAGCGACCTCGAGGCCCGACATTGTGGTGAGCAAGGAACTCGCGCAATAAGTCTAAGAGAAGCGAAAAGGTTTGTGAAGCTGCTCAACTGTTTCTTGCTGATCCAGATCGATGTTGTCATTAACAGTGGAGGTCAGCTGTGCCGGTCCAAGGCTGCGCTGCACATGGGTGCCCGCAAACGTGGCCCCCACTTCCACGTTCGTCGTGCAGCAACATTATCCGGAAGCTCTCAGGCTGGACGCTTCTCAACGGAAACTATCGACTCTCTCATGATTTTCCTCTGCGCGTTATATCAAATCTATTCAGGACCGCTCTGATGCCTGACTTTTGATCTTTCGAGTACCGCGAAACATCCGCGGAACGTCACCCGCAGGGACCACACCCCACAGAGACCTTCGACGATCACAGTTGGCTGGTAGCAACTCCACACACTTCCGAACGATCATCCGGTTGTATGTCCTGGAATAGCCCTCGACTTATCCTTGACAATCGAGCATACGTGGAGTATCGCATCAGGTCGAAGCATCGAACATGGCGACCCAAGCAGCTGAAGTGCTCGTCGCAGCGGCATCTTCCCGTGAGGAAGTCACGAAACCCGACGATCTTTCTTTGGTAGCACTCAATGTCCACTACTGCCTAAGGGACTTCCAAGCAGTGTGCAACAAGCTTTCAAGCGCCCAATCAAGCATAAAGGCCAAGCTCCCGCTAGCTACCCTGAAAGATATCTTTGGTGGATTCAGGCTATGGTCGTCGAATGTAGGTGCGCATCGTACGGGAAGAGGCTCTCTCGGCTACAAGCTTCGTGAAGCATCTCACATACGTGACCAAGTTATTCAGCTTGTCCAGGGTATGAAGGCTGTCCTGAACGAGGTGTTGGAGATAGTGACGGGCCAGCGACCATCCTGGGAAGATATGTCTGATTCGGAGTCAGATACGGAGGAAGATAGTGCCAATGGCCTTCAAAAGCCGGATACAACGGAGCTTGCCCAACTTGCAGCTGAACTGAAAGAGACGAATGCCTGCCTCATGCGGCTGTCAGTCGCCATTCGAAATCCAGCTCCGCATGATCAATTCAAAGAATCCGCGCACATAGATACGGCTTATTACGAACCGTTCGACATCGCTCATGTCCGTGGAAAATTTCCCAAGGCGCCAGAGTATCTCACGGCCCGGCTAGGCAAAGCCATCTCGCGTCGCCGACAATACCTACGTTACCGCGATGATCACTCGAAGAAGTACAAGCAAGGCCTAACAAGAAGAGGCACGCTTCCAGACATGGGAGCGCATCGTGAAGTGGAGAGTACAGTAGCATCTTCCTTGCCACCAGCTGTGAAGGCTAGCGTCAATATTGCCGATCTTGAAGAGGAAGACGAATACGATGAAACGCAGTCTGTCACTTCTTATGCATCCTCCGGTCATGATCCGGAGAAGTTACGTCCACCGCCCTTGCCGATGGAAGGCCGTGGCGGCGAGCCTTTCGTATGCAAACTATGCTTCCGCTACACTGCAGTTCGACATGTCAAAGCCTGGCAGAAGCATGTCTACCGAGACCTGCAACCATATGTGAGTTGCTCATGACGTTCCAGTGTGACCGACTAATAACCCGCAGTTATGCACCGTGGAAGATTGTGAAATGCCCGACCGGACATACGAATCAAGACACGAGTGGTTCCGTCATGAAACTCAGATGCATCGAAAATGGTGGCAGTGCGTCGATGGTTGCGATAAGCCGTTCCAGTCTTCTTCTAGTCTCCGGGAACACATCGCGCATGAGCATCCGTCGCTTGCAACTGGAGATCGTGTTGGACAACTCGTTCGTAGCTGTGAGAGGCACCGTAGTATGACTGCCAAGGCAACCTGTGTGCTGTGTCTGGCTGAAGTCTCTTCGTTGACGATGTTGCGGCGTCACGTGGGCAAACACCTGGAAGAACTGTCGCTGTTTGCGGTGCCTGCACACGTCAGCGAAGACCAAGAGGATAACGAAGATCCGGAGAATAGTGATGAAGGAGGAGAGGCAGGTGGCAGTCAAGGGTCGCTCACAGACTCATCAACGAGCTCACCGGCGCTGAGTATCATTGAGTGTGGGGTTGATGGTTGTGAGGCGACGTATAAAGGCTTGGGAAAAGCGCAATTTTTGGGCTTGCATCGTGCGCGCGAACACTACGGTCCGGTTTCGTTCTGTTGTGAAGACCATCTACGACAGTATATCAAGTCCGCTCTATGAGTGTGGCTCGAAGTGGTACCTAGACGTAGCATCAATGAGAAGATCGCGCACTCCAATAGCATAAAGGAATATATAGATGAGTATTTCAGATTTGGCAGAGTCGATGCCGACTTGCGCTCGGCATTTCATTCTCGGTCTACGTACAGAGACCATGGGCGTATTCCATCCCAGGCCCCTGCCATCTTGTCGCTACGTAAACCTTCCAGTATTGCGAAACCAGTTTCCAACTCTTGCATTCTCTCTTGCGCATATAGCGATCGCATAGATCAGTCTAGATCTGGAGGCGCTCGACCTTGTCCTTGAGGGTGCGGATCTGGCCCATGAGGTCGGAAGCCTCGTTGGTCGTGATGCTAGCCGCGATGACGGGCCTGGCGACACCGCAGGCGCGGCCGAGAGCCATCTTGGAGGGGACGTAGACGTAGGGAACGTTCTTGTCCTCGCAGAGAAGAGGCAAGTGGAGGAGGATAGCGAGCGGGGAGGTGTCGGCCGCGAGGATGATCAACTCGCTGATACCACGGTTGAGGGTCTTCGTGGCCTCGTTGGCGCCCTTCTTAAGTTGGCCTATGCGAAATCAGTATTTGTCTCGCATGGAGTTCGCACAGCAACTTACGGTAGTGGGTAGCCTGTTGGACGAGGTCAAGGATCTCCTGGGAGAGAGCCTGGTCGGCTTGGGGCCAGGCGGCGCTGTTATCTTCGGCCATTTTGTTGGAGGTTGAGATGCGATGGGGTGGATGGTAGGGTTCACTGCTAAAGCTCGTCCGAAGGAGGATTCCTATAGGGTGTTAGTATGCGACGAGAGTGTAGGTATGCGACCGAAGCTCGTGTGAACGATAACAGTGTCGGTAGGCGACGAGTGTCAAATTCGAGACAGAGAGAGAGATAGCTATGCGACTTACACTGCTTGCTCGCCCGGGTTGAATTGTGGTGAAGGTTGTGGTAATTTGGAAGCTTGGGAAAATCAAAAAGTTCGTAGAGCTGCTAGGATTATTACTTGGCACACCTCACGTGTGGCGCTAGTGACGAACTAGGTATAGGGCAAAACCGAGCGACGTCCAGCTCTTCGCCAACCATCGTCACCACTCCTCGACATCACATCCGCCCCCGTCGCCGCATCCACGACTCCCGTCCATCTCAATAAAGATCTCGACACCCTTCTAGACGTCTCGTCGAATACATACATCACCGCAAAGATGGTCTCCGAACTTTGGTGAGTGAACACGGAGCTCCCTTGTTGAGCATGCAGATAGCTCCAGCTTGCCTCTCTGGAGATAAGCTGGGCATGCGACTGTTACATGAGCATCGGAGGAGATTCTTCGTCATCACCTTATACGTACAATAGCTAACATAATGGATGCAGCCCCGTCTATGCTGTAAGTCCTCGGACCAACCTCCGCTTCGCCTCCCGACGCGACAGCACCGCGTCGACCCGTCCATCGTCATAGCTAATGAACAACTAGCCCTTCTTCGGCGCGATGGGCTGCACGTCAGCTATCGTGTTCGCCTGCTTTGGCGCGGCCTACGGAACCGCGAAGGCCGGTGTTGGTGTGTCAGCCATGGGTGTCCTCCGCCCTGACCTGATCGTCAAGAGTACGTGATGAACCGCTCGCCAGATGTCGCAATGTCCAGCACGCAGCTAACACACTTCAGACATTATCCCCGTTGTCATGGCGGGTATTATTGGTATCTACGGTCTCGTCGTGTCCGTCCTGATTTCCAACGGTCTCTCGCAAGAGTCTTCGCTCTTCGCCAACTTCATCCAGCTCGGTGCCGGTCTCGCCGTCGGTCTGTCCGGTATGGCCGCTGGTTTCGCCATCGGTATTGTCGGTGATGCTGGTGTACGAGGAACTGCCCAACAGCCCAGGTTGTTCGTCGGAATGATCTTGATTCTCATTTTCGCCGAAGTTCTGGGTACGTCGCTCGAAACTCAACAAGAAGCTCGCACTAACATATGCCAGGTCTTTACGGACTCATTGTTGCCCTGCTCATGAACTCCAAGGCTAGCGACGCTCACTGCTAGACGATTACGCACGTTCGATTGCAGATACGACAATACAAAACTGCAACACTCAAGCAACGGCATCGATACGCAAAGTCGTTCAGCAATCTACGCATATGACGCGCAATACCCACATGCGCGGCATGTCTCACGTCTCCATGTATTATTCGAACGGACGGACAACGAGGGCTTCGAAGTTGGGAAGCGAGGTGGTAAATAATGGCATCGGTCGAGGTGCACTTGCGATCCATTTGACGGCGTGTATTTTAGGGTCTCATCAATTTCATTCTGCGCTTGTAAACGAAATGCATTGGTTTCATTTAGACATTCTCCGCCTTGATCTTTCCCCTATATTCTGACTGACGTGAGATAGCCGTGCGCAAGTTATCAAGTGATGCGATTACAACTCCATGCCACTCTCACGGCTGCAGGACGACCTTCGGATCATCGCGACCATACGGACGTCCCGGCGTTCCTGCTAGCTCTACTGGCTCCCTACATCCCATCTCTACGGCTGCATTCCCGCCATACAGTTCGCTGGGCGCCACCGAAGGATAGTGTTGCGCTTCCAGATTTTTCTCGTCGATAGCGCTGGGCGGCAGCTCCACGGTAGCAGCCTGCTCCTGGCGTCTTTTCTTCTTCAGCTTCCATGCTAACAGAGTAACGAGTACTACCAATGTAGCTATCGATCCTGCACCGACGCCGATTCCTGCGCGCGCACCAACACTGAGTGCTTGCGACGTGGTCGAGTTGTCTGATCTTGAGGAGGCTGGATCTGCGCTGTTGCTTGTTGATGAGTGTGGGACGGGTGTTGATGTGCTCGCGTTCGATGATGCTGAAGCATTTGATGTCGGCGCGGATGTTGCGGATGTCAATGTCGATGACGAAGTCGAAGATGCAGTCTCGCCCACGGTCGCTGCCAGGGTAAACCGCTTCGTTTCATCACTACAACAGCTCGGATTCCCACAGCACCAACTATTCTCCCCACACTTCCTCACCGGCGCGTTCTCGTCCTGCCACTACAGCCCATCAGCACCACCCACGGTCCAGCATAGAGTACTTCACTCACCGTACTATTATTACAAACACTCCCCAAGCACTCCGCGCTCTGCCACGTCGGATCCGTACACCCATTTCGCCACCATAACTTCACGTTCGCATTCGTTCCATCGAAAGCTTCGTAATTTTGACACAGTCCGTTGCTTTCGCATACATCGTCTGCGACGTTTGTTTGGCCCGCGCCTTGATGATTGGTGCCGCAGCAGAAAGAGTCGCGGTCAGGGTCGCTGAGGCAGGGTTGGTAGGATATATCGGTTATTGGGCTGCCGTCGCGGTTGTAGCAGGTGCGGTTTGTGGATGCCATGGGTGTTCGCGGATGGTATTTAGGTTTGATTTGACGAGAAGAGAAGAGGCGGATGACGAGAAGAAAGGACTGAAGTGGTCGCAATAATGTGTATTCTTCATCCTTGCTGTGTTATGATGTATTCGTTGCTCTGCAAGGGGCTCAATCTCACGACTTACCCTCTCACTGGAGCGCAGCCACTGTGCATAACCGCCGGAAGTTTGGTCTCAGCATATGCGGCTCGCCATTGGATTGTTCGTCTGATCTTCAATTCTGTTTCCCTCCTATGCTCTCACGTTCCTGCTATGCGGCGTAGTGCTTGCTTGAAGTCCATGGGGCTCTTTTCATACTGAGATTTGCATTATAGTATCCGGGTGATCAAGCAAAGACTGGATCGTTAAGAAGCAAGATACAAGGTTTTGGTTACCCCAGCCATACTATTATCTTCTCGCGTCGCAGTTCCTGCATCGATCCAAGTCCAATAGAGTGCACCCGCAGACGGTTGGGGCGGAAACCAAGAGCAGACTAGCGTGATTGACCAACATCACGAAGGGCTCCTCCTTGCTTTGCGCAGATCATCAACACACCATGATGTATCAAAAGCAATGCGCCTACCAATCGATTTGTTGAGTGATGATGAATTAGGAGACTTCGAGTGCTGCTTGCGTCGTAGATGACCTTATGACGCTGGATCGGGCTAGCTCCTTGGCGATCTTGTCTCCATCCCGCAGCTGCAGGAGTGTCCTCGCTATAACCATCGCCTTTCATCCCAGTACGACTCACCCACACTGTCGCGCGCCCGCATGCAACGACACTCGCTTTAGAAGACATCGACTGGACAGGAATAACACGCGGAGCAAGGGCATCACACGATGGACGTCAGACTCGTTGAGTATTAACAGCCATAAGAAGATCTCAGACTCCGCAAGCACCAGTAACAGTGGCTGGCCCGTGCCGCACATTTCACAAGGCCAGATTCGCACATTGTCGATACTCAGAGGCCTGTAGTTTAGAGCCCATACTCAAGCTCGGGGTACTCCTTCTTCAGATACCGGACCATTTCATCATCATGATACTTCCAATTCGATCCTTCGGGTGGCACAAACCCTTCAATCAGCGCCATTCGTGGTGACTCGAGGTTCAGATGCCGACCGGTGAATATCTGGCCCAGTCGCTGAGGTTGCTGAGCTGTCGGTAGGCGATGTAAAGACACTATCGTAACATTTCTGAAAAAGATGTCGAGCTGACAGGCGATGCCACGAGGAAGGATATACTGGTGTTTTAGTGAGGGCGCGCTGACGATAGAGACATCGACGTTGTAGTGGCTGAAACAGTCGCGGTCTATCGCGCCGTACATGGTTAGCCTGAACGTAGCAGACTCGACCAGGTAATTGGGATATGGCGGTACGGAATCTAGTCCAGAAGTGTTGAGTGCGATAACCCAGCTACTGGTATCTCCGACACGACGCTGGGAGAGCAGGGTGTTCCTTTCTTTCTCCTCTAAGGCGTCTTGACGTTTCAGAGGGAACATGTCGAGGCCTACCGATTCTGTGTCGACCCATTCGGAAGTGGTCAATTTTGTGGGGTGTCGTAAAAGATAACCCCTCTTGTCTATGAATGTCTCATGTGGAAAGACAGAATAGGCGCGATTCCAGGTGATAAGGTTGCTCAGAGAGGTCGATGAGGGCAGTAGCGCTTCGAGAACCGGAATCTCTCCTTCCACGATATTGACTTCGCTACACTTTCCATCGGAACTGACTCGACTCATTGTCACTCGAAGCTTCTGGGAGGGGTTAGCGAGACACGCGTGGATCATACGAAGTAGCCGAGCGCATTCGAACTTACTGAAAGCTCTTTATCCTTGGGCGTGGGAGTATCGAGACGTTCATAACCATCTTCTTCGAGGAAGGTGCGTAATGCATCAGCATTGGGGCCTTTCTGAACAAGGAGGCTATACAGCCCAATTTTACCGCCAGTCTTTACGACCGGCTTTCTCGCCATGAATTCGTATGCGAAATTTCGTCCTATGAGGACGTTATGTCGGGCTTGAAGAGCGCGGAACTCGATGGGAGAAGTGACGAAGTGCTTCAACCGGTCGTTGATGTTGAATTGAGTGCGCTCCACCAGCTTGACGAAGCCCATGAAAGGCTTTGTGGTCTTACTGAGCGAAATGACGTCGGCTATGTCGAGTTGCGCGAAGACGGCATCCTGGACTGGAGCATATCGAGTCAATAAGTCCACGATCGGAGGTGTTTTCTTCGGTTGCCACCATGACTTGACTAGCTTGAACAGACTCTTATCTCTAAGAGATACGACAGCCAGGGAAAAGATGAAGATGATCATGGGAGTCAAACAAGAAATGAAAGAGAACATATTGGAGACTTTCGACTTTGAGTTGCTCGTGGAGGAAGGTTGAGCGACAATTGGGGTAGAGCGTACATTGAGATGATCAGGGGCTTCTATATGCAGGAGGGGAGTCGGAGCAGGAGCTGTGGCCTACCAGGCGCTACAATCTTGCCACTATATTCACTACGCAGCTATATCCTCCGATTCGAGAACCAACAATCCAAGAACAAGAGTGAAGGGGGGTGCTAACCGAGTATACAATGACGCGTTTTACCTTGAGCGACATCGCTACCAAGACAAACGCGAGACTCCATCTACATGACCAAAGGCAAACGCAAACTGCGTCAAAGACGTCACAAGTACACTATCCCCTCATCTTCTCTCACCAAACACGAAGTCACGCTGGAAAGCAAGCGTCTCTCACCTCGGGAATTGCTCCACCCACAGAGATATAAAGTCGTCTCCCTCCGCGCCTTCCCTCCTCTTTTCTCTTCTCATCAATATAGACATTGAGGCAACTTCGGCAATACCCACACTTTACTGTATCTTATTCGCTTCCTTCAATTGGAACCGACTTCTATATATCCTTTCCAACCTTAACTTATCAACTTCAACTCCAACATCAACAAGATGTCTAGCCCATCAGGAAACCAGCCCCCCAGGCGTAGCGGCGCTTCTTCATCTGGTAGTCCCTACAACGCTCCTCGTCACGGTCGAATCCCCTCCCGCACTGGAATCGAGCCCCTATCCCCGCCTCAAGCCCAGCAGCCTTCTATGCCCAACCACCGCGCTCCTCCAACAGTCCACCATCTTCGGGAAGAAGAGCCAAACCCCCTCCAACGCTGGAACGGCTCTTCTGTAAGCCCCTTCATGCGCTGGGCGTACGCAGTCACCGATGCCCGAGGTGCTGTCCGTCCAAACTACAACTACGACCCGGACATGAACAACGCCATTTACTTGAGCGAGACAATTGTAAGTACCCCTTCACTTCCCCTCCACCCACACCCACACCCCTAGCAAATCCCCATACTAACACCACCCCACAGGACGACTTCGACCGCAACCCCTCCCTCGTCCACGAACTCGTCCTCCGCATCGCGAACCCAGACCTTGGCCATCCCTCCATGGATTGGATCCGCGCCAACCGCTCTCTCGTAGACATCTTGTTATACCGCCACTACCAGCGCTACGGCGGTCTGATGCTACCTCCGACGGCGGCAGCACTCCAAGCCATGCAACAACACGAGGCGGCCATCGCTGCTGCTAGAGCCGCTGGTGTGCATCCAGACAACTATCCTCACATCATGTTCCCGGCTTTTGGACCGCCGCCGCCGGGTGAGGGTGAGGTGGGCTCGCCTGGAGGAAAGGGTAAGGGGAAGATGACGCAGGGGAAGTCGTCTGGATCGCCTCCGGGTAAGGGTAACCCGTTTGGTAGTATCGGAGATAGGGGTGGGTTTGGGCGTGGAGGTCCGAGTGGTGGTGGGGTCTATTATTGAGTAAGTTGTACATCTGCTGGCTAGGATATGACGTGTCGGTTGAGGTTCTCGGAGACCTTTGTGACCTCCTGGCTGTAGTATTACGCTGCTTTGGAGGACCACAAAGAGTTCGAGAACCTCCTGGCTACTTGATACAGGGGCTATTTGGATGCTTTTGATGAAGTCTAATTAACCTCGAGTAGTTCTACTGAAGACGAGACTGCGGTGGAAACGAAAGATTATGTACTACTGAGATGACTTTGGACGGCTTATTACTGAGCGGGTATAGCTTGGGATGACTACATGGGTCAAAATAGGATGGTTTTATACATAGACACAGAGATTGGAAGATGAATATCATTCATATCATTCATATCATTACTATCATTCGACCATTACCGTACTTTTGATATCTACAACCCACTCTTCTCGTTCTTCTCATCCCTAACACTAAGAGTCTCAACATTCTCCGCATCGCCAATCTCACGGCCGCCCACGTACTTGCTCTCCTTCATGTTGTTCATAGCATCTTCCTGAGCATCTGCCTTGCGGAAAGTAAGGTAGAAACCAATACCGCCGAACATGGCAACAACAGCAACGGAACCATAGTTCCATACGAGAAGCGGGTCCTCGGACAGACTGACAAAGGCCTGGCCAAGAGCGGCGGAGACAGCGGAGGTGGAGAGGGCAACGGCCTGGATGGTGGACTTCATGTTGTTGGGGGCCTTGGTGTACGCGTACTCGAGCTTGGTGATGGAAGCGAGAATCTCGGACATACCGATCAGACCGTAGGGGAAGGCTTGGACCCAGACGGAGATGTCGGCGTTGCAGTCTTTGCGTTCCTTGCTGAGGGCGTTGATGTTGCTGCCGCAGGGTGACATCTTGTAGATGTAGTATTGGATGACGCAGGCTGACACCATGGCGAACGAGGAGAGAGCGAAACCAGCAGTGATCTTCTTGATGGGCGAGAGGTTGACACCAGCCTTGCGGAGAGCGGGGTAGACGAAGAAGTCCATGATCGGAATAAGGATAACGATGAAGATGGGGTTTAGCTTCGAGACAATGTCGTTGGGTGTCTTTCCGAGGTTCATGGTGTTGGCTTGGGAGACAAGGTTGTTGGTCATTTGGTTGTACGCAAGCCAGTAGAGAGGGTACCACAAGAAGACCTTGCAAGCGAGGATACCGCGCTTGACTTCATCAACCCAGGCATCGTCAAAGGTCATCCAGTCAGGGACAGCCTGGCCGCTGGCACGAAGAGCAGTAGGCTTGATCCTGTCCCAGAAACCATCGTCCTTGAATGTGTTCTTGCGGGGTGACTGCTTGATACCGAGACCGATGAGCTTGAAAGCCTTGCCCATGACGGATCCAGTGGGTGGCGAGAGCTTGTAGTGCTTCTTCATCGTGATGAGAATGATGGGGCAGAGGAGGTAGCAGATAGTGGGTAGCGTGTAAGAGAGCCAGAAACCGACGAAATGCTGGATGGCGTTAGTGAGGTCACACAATGCAGTCTGATTCGGCACATACCTCTGAGTAAACCATGGCGATGGAACCGCAGATAGATCCACAGTTGATCAGGAAGTAAAAGTAGATGTAGATACGCGCAGTGGTAGTGGCGGGGTCGACAATCTCCTTCTGTCCATTCTTCCTGACACGGACGTAGGCCTTTTGATCTTTGTACTGTTCGGCGATGAGTGGAGAGATGTTACTCTTGAAACCACCAGTTCCGAAACCCATAACGACGAGGCCGACAGCGAAGACACCGATGGCGACATTAGGCTTGACAATAACTGCGGGGATAGCAGACATAATCAGAATAATGTGGCCGATAAGAGCGATAAGGTTAGAGTACTGGATGGTTTTGTAACGTCCCCAGTACTCGTCGGCGAGCCAGGCACCACCGAGAGGCGTGATGTAAGACCAGAACTGGTTAAACATGGTGAGACCGGTGGAGGCACGTTGGCCCATGTCCAGAGCGCCGGAACTGACGCCCTTCTTCAAGAAACCAGCACCAGTTGTGGAACCAGGAGGCAATGGCTTTTGGATGAAGTCTGGTAAAAGTCAGTGTATGCCCAGACATACGAGCTATCAATCAACTTACTGACGAAGACAGCGCTGGTACCGTAGTAACTGAAGCGCTCAACGAACTCAACAGCAGCCACAGTCCATGCTTGCCACGGGATGCGACCAGCAACCCTGGGAAGAGTCGCCCATTCCTCTTCAGTAGGGAATGGACCCAAGAGGTTGGTGTTCTCGTCAAAGGAACCAGTGGAGCTGGTGTCGAGCGGGATAGGGTCCATAGCAGTGGCGCCCTTGGTGATCTCAAGAGACGCCTTGACGTTGGTGTTGGCCGCCATTGTGCTGAAGAGAACTTGAACTAAGTTCAGGTAGAACAAAGGTAACAAGGTACGACCGCGAAATTGAATGCGCGGGCGGTGGAATCAAGTAGACGCAACGGGCGATGAACTTGAGTGCCTGCGGTCCAGACAGGTGTACCATGCCCCTCTTCATATACACCCAAGCAAACTCCAAGACCGACGCTCTGGACAAGAGTTGCACAAGGGTCGCACGCGACTATCGAGCGTGTCCACTCTCGCCATGGCATTTCGTTCGCTCGGTTCCCGCGTTATCACAGCAACATGCACATAACAGCCATCCAAGACCATGGAACGGCGCCTAGTCCGGTCGGAGGATCATACAAACCAGACCTTCAGGCATACTGCCGCAGTTAAGCGCGTTGGTTAGAGGCATCCAAGGCCGTGGTAGCCCCAGGATCAGGATAAGATAGGAATGAGCAAAGAACCCGGGCGCCAATACGAGCAACCAGCCTTGCTCCATGGGCGCGGCGGAACGTTCGAAAAAGACGTGCCAAGCTGGGCTAAGCAGGAAAAGATAACGCTCAGGGAAGCTTCCCATGCGGGCGCGCAGGACGCGCCAAGCCAGTATCCATCTCTTGGTCTTGTCACCTCCCCTTCTGGCCCTAGTCACGATTGCGACGCGCCTGAATGGATCTAGGATCTCCGCCCGGATGGTAGCCAAGACCTTGGACGTAGGGTTATCAGTATAAGCGTTTCATCACGGTTACCTCCTTCTGCAATGGATCACGCGCGAGATGATGGCTGATGGGGCGTGGTTGCGACGGGGCGTTGGAAACTTGGAGAGGTTGGTGTTGAAGCGGCGGGTGTAATTGGTGTTCAGATAAACCTCACGCTATCAATCAAGCACGGACCTGCTAGCGGAAAATTGGCGGAAGTCGTGGCGGAGAGATCACCGCACCAACGAACTTCTTTCGATTTAACATCTATGGGTATCTACTGCCGAGAGGATGGAGGTGGTGACATCCACTGAGGCAAATTACTCGCAGCTGCCAAACACCATTTTCCCAAAACTTTTGCCCTTATCTTTCCATGCTCTCGGTCTCACCGAAATCTCACTTGCCGGAAAAACTCGTCTCACTTCCAATCAGCCGTCCCGAATCAGTTGTAGCCATTTCTGGATCCTGCTGGTGGTCAGTGACATCGGCGTTGTAGAATTGATCTGGTGGGTATCCGAACCTGGATAGAACTCTTCCGCGTCAGGGCGAGGCACGTGAGTGCTCGCACCTGAGCCTGATGATGGTTGCTGAGGACGTGTTGGACGACCTTGAGCCGATGCTGGACCTTGGCCTTGTTGATTTCCTGAAGATCCGCGACCACGTTGAGTAGATTGGCCTTGATAACCCGCATTGCTGACTTGCTGCGGCGGCGGCATCGCGAAACCGCTGCTTGCTCCCGTCTGTGAAGAGTAGTCTTGGTGGGCGGTAAACATCATTTGACTGCCAGTCCAGCCGCCGCCATACTGCTGTCCAGGGTTGGTGAATGGCTGCTGTTGGTAAAGGTTTCCAGGATAGCCACCCATAGCCGGCTGAGCCATGTAAGGATTACCATACCCATACTGATAAGTTGGGTAGCCATACATTCCCGAAGGTGGAATTGAAGGGAACTGAGATGACGCCTGTTGCATGTTGGGAGAAACATTTGGTCCTTGGTTAAAACGACCACCGCGGTCCGAACGTCCAACGAAGTCGCCACGAGGCTGCGAAGGCCGACCCCTTCCACGACCGTTTCCGCGACCATTTCCACGACCACGCTCAGCCTGATCGACCCTCATGTTGAGGTTAGCCAGTTCCCTCTCCAGTGTCGCATTCCTTGCTTCAAGCACTGCAACAGAAGTAGCGCGCGCTGGGGCAGCTTCAGCTGGAGATGCGGTGGACGGCCTAGTACTAGTATGTCCTGCTCGAGGGAACTCCGGACTCGGGTTGTCTCCCAAGGAGAAGAGCATGTATGATCCGTGAACGATGGCGTGGCGGACAAAGATACGCAGACAGTACTGGCTGCCTTGATCGGTGACGGGAATGAACTTCGACATTTCCGCCGCTGTCAAAAGTTCCGAGTTGAGTAGGCATAGGCGGAGACGTTCGATTGTGAACGGGAAGTCTTCGTAGTGCTCCTAGGATGTATGCGTCAGTGCCTGTATTTAAGAGATGGCGGAGTGGCTGTTGGGTGTCCCAGGTGCACTCCACGTATTTCCCCGCCGTTGTGTGGCTTGGTGGGGATACGATGTGTGCTCTTGGGTTGCCTGATGGGGAGTAAGTTGGCGTCCGGGTTACTTACGAGAAGATGCAGGTTCGACCTTCCGAAGACGACCTGGCGGTTCCACTCCATTGTAGTCCTACGCTCTTCTGGGTAGACTCGCTGGAGGAAAGGAATGAGTTCAGAGTCGACCCAGTCTTGGTCGATTGGCGCAGGAGAGGAGTTGAAGACAGCAGGGGGTGTTCGGCCAGTCATGGTGACAAGAAGGTGGAGTTGGACGTAGAAAGAAGATCGAGTCAAGTAGCAAGTCGAATTGTATTAAGGTAGGGTATACTCGATTGCAGTCAAGTCGCGTAGGTGTCGTGTGTGGGGAGGAAGGAAGGAGTGTACTCCTGACAGTATCGATAGATTATATACACACTAGCAAGTGAAGGGCCCAGCAGGTACCCGCATTGTTTATCTGTTTATCGTGCTCACTCCCTCCTTCACTTTGTTCTTTCGACGTCATTCCCGCAGTTACCCGCGCCTTTTTGCTCACTTGACGAGCACGCGATTGCTTGCTTCGGCGCCTCGTTAAGTCCGAGCAAACGCAGTTGTATACAACCCGACGCGCTGGCTTTTATCTCCGATCAGGTGAAGGAGAATTTGAGGAGTTGGTCCTTCACCTTTCACGATGTTCGCAGTGAGAGGAGGATGCAACCGAGTTTGGATTGCGTTTTCAGAAAGTAGTCTGTACGACGAGGCACTGTGATAGCAGCAATCAAGTTTGCAATTCTTTTGAGATTAGTACTGTGATGACGCGGAGGGGCAAGTGGAGGACAATTCGCCGTCTCTGTGATACTCGGACGAAAAATTACCACCCTATGATTTCCTCGCAAAGGAACCAGCTGTTGCAGCGTCGATGTTACCCAATTCGTGTTCCTCCGTCATGGGAGTAAACTAAACACGCTTCAGTGGTAGAGGGCAGATGGGATAAGTCGAATAACTCTGCTTTCATTCAGACCTCTCTCTGTATTTGACAGCGAACACACTCTGGTATATATCGAACCTAATCGCTAACAAAACATGGATATGCCAACAATGCTTAGAAAGTCCTAACAAACAAACACCCCTAATTCCCTACATGCCAGTAGTGATATCTCGTGTCACATTTTGCTCCGAAACGCCAAAACACAAAAGGGTAAAAGAAGGAGAAGCGCCTGTCTTCTTTGTCCAGAAGGGTGTGGAGTAGAAGAGAGAAGAGGAAGGAAATCGAGAAGCGAGCCTCGCGCTTGGTGGTAACAAAGGAAAATGTACATCTGCGGTATTTGATGTGTGGTGGTGGTTATGCAAGCCAGCTAGTCTTCCAAGTCCAGCAAGCCGGGAAGGGAAGTGAAGTTCTATATCTTCCTTCGAACAGTGAACTTGCGCTCCATGGTCGCAGCGGGTAAGGCTTCAGCGAAGGTATCGCGTGCTGTTATTCATCTTAGCATTGTCCCTGTTAGGAAATGGTGTGCGCATGACTTACTCTCAGCAGAATCAAACATGATGAGAATATCATCATGCTCGCCCGGATACTCAATCTCATCTAGACAAACAAATCGTCTCTTCGTACCAGACCAACCGGTAAGTCTGCCCTCCGCCTTTTGTATTTTGCCCTCGCCCCTGCGTTCATCGACCGGAAGAGCGAATTTCGCATCGACAAGCTTGAGTCCGAACTGACCGTTCTTGTCAGTCTTTTGGAACGTGTCAGTGAGGCGGAGTTGGAAGTTCATGGCGTCGGCATGGGAGAAGTCTTCGAAGAAGGCAAGAAGTTGGATGATGTTGTCTTGTTCGACGATCTGGAGTCGGATGCGTGTGGCGGTCCATTGCTTGTAGATGGGGACGACCATGCGTCGACGGGAGATGGAGAAGGAATTTGCGAGACTGAGATAGTGTTAGCTAGATATCAAAAGGCACGGTGAGGATGATAGACATACCCGTCGAATTTCACGTGAAAGCCGGTGACAGCTAACTGGAAGGTGTGTAGATCGTTGAAGGAGTTGAAGGTCAGTCTTCGGATCGTCGAGGCGCTTGTGAGTGTCTTGAGGAGCTTGGCTAGTTCATCGGGGACGGCAGGGTCGGTTCGGCTGCTGTCGACAGCTACAGCCATGTCTTGTTGAGCTTCACGGAGGAGTGTGAGTTCGGCGGCTCCGTCGACTGGGAGGCGGACTAGAAGTTCACCAGATCCTGGAAGTCGTTAGTATCGCGTTATTCGTCCGAGAAGACTCAACTTACCCAAGTTCATGCGGTCAGAGATGATACCAGCAGTATGTCGACACATGATTCTCAAACTCTCACTTTTGACAGTAGGTGCTGATTCCAATCCTGCAGCTTCTGGATCCAGGTTCATAACCTTGGCTTCCACCCACTGCAGCTTTTCAAGCACGCGACTACCCTGCGAGGTAAAGCCCTCTGACTGGTCCGCACTCTCAATGTGGAATGCCTTCAGTGCGACTTGAGCGAAGGTAGTCTCACCTTCTGCGACATTCATGGACGTGAATGTGCCAAAGAGGTCGTTTCGGTCCCTGCCACTCTGGAAGACGAGGTGAGCTGCACATGTCCTCAGCTTCTTATCCGCACTTTCTTCACGGAATCGCAGTCTCAACGCCGGAGCTTGGTTAGCTTCGGTGACGTATTCGAAGTTCATGGGCTCCTGCTTTGTTCCGAGCTCATGGTTGATCAAGCTGACTTGCTTGGTTTGCTGCGGCGTGACCAGAACCATACGGTAGCCTCGATGCAACTTCCGCTTTCCTGTACCTTCACTACTTCGTTCGATTCTTTGGAACACCATCAGCTTGCAGCCTTGAATCCGATCGCCTGGCCATGCCGATGGGTTTGCAGGATCCCGGTAGCTCGCCTCCTGGAGGTACAATTTGCAAGCAAAGCGCTCGTCTCTCCGTTCTCGTAGATCTGACTCGACTCGGTTCGTGTGATTGACGATAGACCAGAGACTACGGAAGTCACTCTCGTGCAGCGCAAGAGTCAAGACAAATCCGTGCTTCAACTGAACTGTGAGTTGCGAAACCTGTTGCTTCCAGTTGACATCTTTCCAGCCAAGTACTGATCCTGAGCCCACCAGAAGGTTGATGAGGCTGTTTTGGCTGCAGATGGCCAACTTGACTTGAAACTCGTCCTTAGACCGCATGACAGAAACAACAGCATCCATCGGAACGCGGTCGGTCGCGGGGTCGTCGGTCGAGACCGAGGCTTTGACGAACATGCGGAAGTAGCAGAAGTCGGTCTTGGTGTCGGAAAGGGGTATATACTGGGATAGACTAAACTGGCTGCCGTTGGGAGCAGGGAGCCCGGAGGTTAGCACGCTCGCTGCATCTGCGGGGAATGTCGGATACTCCTCCCATATCTTCTGGTCTTGTCCCTGGATAAGAGCTTGCGTTGGAGGCATGCTTTGATGCTTCTTCATCGACCCCACAAGCAATTTCAGGTAGTGGGTAATCGCATTCTGTATATCAAACACCTCCGCACTCGCAGGGTCTCCGGCTTGTCTTGCCATACCGACTTGCGCGTCGGGGGACGAGTTGCCGTACCCCTGTAAGCTAGGATGGTTCGGAAGGACTTCAGAGATGATCCACCACACTTTGGCCAGGTCGACATGCGGTTGAGCCAGTCGTTCTTGTATGGGTTCGGCAGACTTGGATTGACTCCTAATCAGGTTCTCCATTCCAGTGCGTCCTTTCAAGAACCACCAAGTAGCGACTCTGAGCCATTGCATCGGCGAGTGATTGTTGAGGTTGCCTCCGAGCTGAGCTGTCAGCTGGAAGATGCCTCTCATATGCGTGATGCGCTCGGCAAAGTCCCGGTATGCGGAATCATTCGCAGATCTCGTATCCGAACGAGCGAGAGGAGCAGCGGGTTTGGCGCTGGTGCTGGCACCAGATGCGTTTCGTGACGGCAACTGGCTGGGAGGTCCTGAGATGGCGAGAGGCTGGGGAAGTGAAGAAGGTTGCAGTTGAGGTTGAGCGGACGAGAAGTAAGATGTACTCGGGGGAAGCTGGGGTGGGGTTGGGAGATTTGGGCTGTCGTCAAGGGCCCCGAAGAGAGCGTTCTCTTTGATCGACGGAATCCGTTGTACGTTCGTATTGATAAAAGGATCCGACCGTGCAGCAGGAGAGGCGCGTGTCTGTGAAGGGGAAAATGCGACATATTGCGATCTAGACGCGGATGGTGGTGATTGCGCTCCCGGCCGTCCTGGGGAGGGCCCACGGGCTCTCGATCGTTCAGGGTCCTCAGTGTCCAGTCTCATCCGAGGAGATCCCCTGGAATCGGACTGTGGTGTCTCGAGAGGTGTTCTGGCCGCGGCCGGTGTGGCATATGAGGAAGGAGGTGTGCCCACGAGGGACTGCTGTGAGCTCGTCTCGGAGTCCCGTCTTTGACCCGAGGCTGCCCGTTGCGATGCCTCATGCAGTGTTCTGCCCTCTTCCGATCGCATCTTTTGTTTCACCCTCGCAGCGAACGAACTCGGGCCGTCGTCCTCCTGCTCAGCCAAATGTCTTTCTGGCATCATGGGCACCGAAGGTATCGCATGCACCGGCGAGGGCAGATCGTCGTCGCCCAGGGTACTGAAGCCAGTCTGCGTGCGCTTAAGCGGCTTTGGCTGGAAGTCGTCCTCTTCTTGGATAGTAGGTTCGCGTACTGACATATTCCTCGACATGACAGGTGAGAGGTTGTCCGAATCCTGGGAATACACAGAGTCCTCGCTGGTGCTGGGTCGCCTTCCGGGAGGGATAGATATAGGCTCTGGTATCCCGTCAAAGCCAGTGGGCGCCCTGGTGAGGCCCTTTGGTCGGTCTCCCAAGCCCATAGATCCCATGTAGCGCGGCGGTGTGGGTGGCAGTTGCGTAGCGTGGGTGTTGATCTGACCCATCTGCATCTTCTGGCCGAGTGGTGGGGACAGCTCGCCGGGGTTCGTCCGCGTTCTCGTGAGGTTTGTTCTGTACTCGGTCTGCGAGGGGGTCCTGCCTATGCCATTGCTGCGCGCTCCCAGATTTGCATCGTCCTGCGGCGTCTGAGATTGCACCTTCTCCGGTTCCGGGATCGTCGCTGCCTTTTTGTTCTTCGCGACTTCCACAACGGGGTCCTCGCACTCGTCCCCGCCATGGCCTATGACTTCGGGGACTGTGCGCACGAAGCTCACGGTGAAGCCCTTCTTGCGCGTGCCAGTCTTCAGACCGCCGGGCCCTGGGCTCTTTCCGGCAGCAGCTGCGCTGTTCAGGATC